CAGCAAACTCTAGATGGGCTGACAGGTCGGAGAAAACGCATCGTAGCTGAACCTGGCATGGTGATTGCTGCAAGGCTTCTTTCGTGACCCAGAAGAAAGAATGGGCCAGAAGCTCCAACAGCGTTCGGCTGATGGAGTTATGAACGCTGACAGTTGCCTGCATCTTCTGAGGCGAAATCTTGGAGTTGACGCCAGCGGAATTGAAGCCGTGTGCGCATGGCGAACATGAGGAGTCGCGGAGCATGCAGCCACATCAGATCGTCAGCAGCTTCCCTTAGCAGGAAGATGATTCGCACAAGATTGGGGAGCTGCCTAGTACGGCGATATGCGGCAATGATATCACAGCCAGTTGTGCTCAGCCCAGTTCTATGCCGAGCGGTTCGTAAAAGCATGATGTCTTCATACTTCAGGTTTTTATGTCGTCGGAGAGCTCTCCAAGAACGCTGGCGTGCAGCTAGTGCATGCTTTGGATTGATCGTCAGTCCTGCGATATTCCAAAAACGAGTAGATAAGCCATGATAAGCCGACTGACAAACGATGCGAAGAAACAATTCTCTTGGCTGTTTCAAGGTTGCTCGTTTGTAGAGCCCTTTGTGGGGTATTGGCGGTATGGGATCGAAAGCTTCCTCTTGGATGCGGTTGGCCTGTAGTCTTGCTTGATCACGTCCTTTCTGCCGCGTGCTCTGAAGTTGCCGCCCAATCTTCCATCCCCAGCCGTTTCCATACACATCATTGGAGCATACCATCTCTTGTACATGTATCCACGGTTTGACGAGAGATCGAGCTTTTAATAGACGAGTAAACTGAGTGCCAGGTATTCACCTGTGTGCACGATCCTGTCCTCGCTGACCTTGTACTGCTTCCGCAGCGTGTATGGTGAGGCGCCTTTCAGAATTAGCATCACAGTTATGTCAGTGTCGTCAAGAAGTGTGCTTGCGACAGCGTGGCTGCACATGCTGGCGTTTGACTTTTCACCCGACTCGATATCTCGGACAAGATGTTTTCATTGACGCTACGCAAACAACCTGTGGATACTGACTGAGTGGATGAACAGATGTACTTCCTCCCCGAAAGCCCCTCTGGGGTTGGGTTCTCGTTTAGTGCTTCAACGCAGAACGCGCACGTTGTGACGGAAAGACTAAGGGAGGAGAGTCGGATGGAATGTTTCAGCGGGGGAGGGCGGGATCGGACAAAGCGGGGTAATCGGTTGACGGGCGGGGCGCTGCGGAGTGCGACATCAGATTGACCGCAGAGTGTAGCATCACTCCAGGTTGCCAGACTGGGACACTGACTTGACTTTTTTTTTGCAGAAGAGCAGCCCGCAGCACTTTATTTTGGTAGGATTCTCTTTCTCCAGCTTCACGGCTTGTTTGGCTTTAAGGGCCTTCAGGGGACATGCTCGGACAGAAATATTCTTCAGCAGGGCAGCACCGACAACGCATGTGCAAGGGCAAAAGTCCAAAACCACTCGGGAACGTCAGGAGATCTCAATAGCTCTCATGTTTCAGAGAGGTCTGTCGGTTTTTCGGCTTTATGTCAAAAGTCTTAGCTGCGACTCCAGGGTCCGTCTCTCACCTCTGTCCTTCGCCAACTCGTGCGCTACCTTTGCACTCGGGTTGGTGTCGGGGGTCCGGATCTAGGGGTGTCCGGCCACGCCCACCCCTACTCTTTCGGTATTGCCTCAGGAGCATATACCTCCCGCGCGCCAACTTGACATGAATACCGCTTCATTTGGACATCCATGTGACCGAATGTGAGCGAAATTGCCCACCTTGCAGGAGGCCCGGATTGAGGTCAGGTGTCGGCTGGACCCCTTCAAACGCCTGGCTGGAGCCATCCCTTGCTGCTCCCGAGTGGTGGCCAGGAAACGGGAGAAGCTGCGAGGCCGCCCACGGGTTTCTTGGCTCCCCAACAGGCTCATGGCCGGCACGACAACAACTTCGATGCACCCTTGCCATACCCTTGCCTCTCACATTCGGGCACCGGGCCCTTCCGACAAGGGCGGCTCTGCCTTCCGATGTCGACTCGCCGCTGGTGCCTCCCGCGCAGAAACTCGTCAAGATGGCTGAAGACATCTGAAGACCAGAACAGTCGCCGTTGGGTGCTGTCGCTGTGAGAGGCTTGTCACAGATTGCTTTCTTGCTAGTGCCGCGATGAGGCCAAAACCCAGGACCCCACCGTCGTGCGCCCCGGCGTTCGCACTTTGAGGTTTGACAACACTCGCAAACCTCAGCAGAGTGTTGCCGTTGCCGCGTTGCCTCGCTTGGGCTCTGTTGGGGAACTGTTGAGATCTCTTGAGGTGCTGGAAATTTGCTTATTGAACCACCCTCGAACCTAAGTTGCATATTTTTACCCTCCAGGTCTTCCATGTTGGGCTTCTGAGCGGCTTCTGTTATCTTCCATTACTCTCTTAGCTACTCCTATAGCTTTTGCTGGACGGCAAGGATCGGGCGAGGTAGTCTAGTGCCCGCGGTGGCACTTGATTCTGGAAAATGCTTTATTCCAGGCCTCTACAGCTATCAATCACAATAGACGCACCATGATGGCCATCAGCAGTTTCAGGAGAGGAGCGGTCCGTGCACAGTCGTAGGTACCGTGAGAGACGACTTGGATTGAGTTGGACACAGACACTTAAGGATCCCGGGAGAGCTCCGAACTTTTCGGCCGTGCCGCACATGTTCGGATTAAGTATAGTTTAGCTGTAAAAAAGGGGTCTCTGAGCAGGTCGTCACGGCACTGCCCCTCAATGGCGGAATTTATAATCTTCTTCTCAATTCCTCCACCAAGCAGCTGGTTGCTGAGAGGGGATGTGTTCAGATGCTTTCAAAGAGCTTTGTCCTGGCCCAATGTTGTGCTAAGGACAGCTTCCGTCGCTGCCTGTCTAACCATTCTGTCGTCAGACACCGAGAAGCTCAAGCGGTTTTTGATGAACATTGGGTACGATGCTTGTGTGGCAATGCCAAGGTACACAGCTACTGGTGTTGTTTCTTCAGTGAGTGCGGCAGATTACCTGAAGTGCTCACCAATGTTCAGCTCCATCGAAAGTGCGTCTAGCTCAGTCATCTGCCAGAGCACGTTGGAGCTACTAACCCTGCTGTCAAAGCCACACACTGCGCTGAGGTGCCCACAGCCATATGCATTTTGGGCTTCTTCGCGGGATGCATGTTGATGGGTATGCAGGAGATGTGACTCGAGTAAATCTGCCATTCTGTAGCATCAAGCAGCAAGGAGAGCTCGGCGGTGGCTTCAATGCTTTTTGTTTTTCATCTGTTGGCCCCTCATTGCGACTTGAAGCTGATGAATGCGCGCGAACGCGTTGGAAGCACATGCTCCGCGCAATGACCTTTTTCTGACAGATCCCGGGACGCAACTGCTGACATTTCTACAACAGGATGCCGGACGCAAGCTGTTGCTTGAGGTCCGTTTTCTTCATTCTTGGAACGTTCAGCGTCATCTTCCTCCAGGTTGCTTGGCTGAGCTTCTTGCGCAAATGATCGCCTTGCTTACGAGATTTTCACTTGAGACTTGGCAGGATGCTGGCCTGGGTCAGCTATACGACAACTTGAATTGGGAGAGGCGCGACTCTTCCAACACCTCGCTGAGATGTTCATCAAGACTCAGAGGCAGCCTCCTTTCTGGAACTCGATCTTCTTCGGGTTTTCATCAGCTATGTTGGGAGTGTCTGGCCCGCGGCTCAATGCACATAGAACACGTGTTTGCACGTCTTGGTGCAGCTTTGCACAGCTTTGCACATCTTTGAGTAGTTTTGTGCATCTTTGTCTTTGCCTCACAACTGAGTTAGCCTCTGCTTCCTCACCCTGAGGCTTCGAAACATCTGCCAACTTTGTTGAGGAGCAGAAGCCAGGCAAGGATCTCCAAGCGCGTTTGCAGCATGCCTGTATGAGCTGAAGACAGTCCCTTGCGAGGTGTCTTTCCAAAAACACTGAGAAACATGTGGGTGAGCGTCTCCGTCATCAACATTCTTCTCCCCAGCCTTGCCGTGGTGGGCACCTGAAGTCACAGTTCCGGCAGTGCGTTACACGATATGACGTGCCATTGAGCTGATTGCCACTGACTCTGCTGACCAGGCTGTGTTACCTCTGGACGACCTGACAGGCCGTCATGTCCTTGCAGAGACTCGGTGTGTGTCAGCAACGAAAGTTAGCCGGAAGTTCAGTGAGAGGGGAGAAGTCGGCATATGCGCTCGCATTTCTTGCCGAACGAGTCTGCGCCCAAGAGCCGTGTACGAACTTGCAGCATTTGTTGAAGTTTGTGGCCAGCTGTTGTGCCTGAAAAGGTTGCTGGACCTTTCTTACGGGACGTTGTTGCGATTGATGCTCCATCCTCGGTTCAGCCTGGTGACCATCCTCAAATTGCATATAGCCATTGATTGATGCGGCCAGGCACTTCTCGTGCTTGCTGGATCCGTTCTGACAAGCTATGTAGGAGTCTGTTCCTCGGGCTGTTGTCATAGATATAATAAAATGTACTCAGAATAGCTGCCAGACAGAGCTTTGTCAGGTAGTCGGACTATTCCAACGAATGGCCGGCGATAGGCTCTCCCAGCTACATGCATGTGCCGCTGTACTATTCTAAGCATTGCATGACAAGATGCGGAACGAAAGTCATTCTGCGGATCCTAAACGCCAACACGGTTTCTGAATCCTCACGATGCGTCTTCTTCCCCAAACCCAATGCCCAACACATGTGCTATATCAAAAGCCAGTTATCATCACGCATTTCTTCAACAATTCACATGATGCAAAGTTACGGTCCGTTACACCTCGCCAGAGCGTCGCCACGCCTTGTTCGATTGAGCATGTTTTGTGGTTCGCGCCGGTCGGGGCCTGTCTCGGCCTGTCCCGCAGATGGTCATATTGCGATGGCTGCTGAGCTGTTGAAAGTTCGATACCCCCTTTAGATTTTTTCATCCCGGCCCAGCCCCGTTCTTCTGATGTTGCTCACCCGGTTCCGCGGAGGTAATTAGACAGATTGCAAACATGACAAGCCCGACACCGAGACGGCTCACGTATGCCTATGTGTCGCGAGAAACCCGCGTCGGAAAGCGCTACTTCAAGTGTCCACGTTGTGTGGCTCGCAAGTCGAGTGGTGGGGCAGGCGATGGGGTTCAGGCCGGAGACAGGTGGTTTCGCTGTGTGCGCACCCGTCACACCGGGGTCTGCGGATGTGGACCAAATCCTATGTGACTAACTTCCGCGGCTTCTGTGTACCTGAGCTTGTAGCGAAGGTGTCTGCCGGAACTCTTCAGCGAGACGAATGCCTGGAGAAACACTCCGCAAGCGGCCACAGTGTGATTGATTATGCTGCAGATGTGACCCTCACATGACAGAGGCACTACACCATCTTGGTCTTCTTTGCTGTATGCTCGTCGATGTGTGTGATGCTGGATGGTGACATCACGCTGCACCTCGTTTTCTCCAGAGCATGGGTCAAGCATGGGTCAAGCAGTGCGCAGAATGGGCAGAACTCGAGTTGCCTGAGGTTGGCTGCCATCTACTCCATCTCCTTCCTGCTGGTCATGGGCCTGTTTGCGTTCGGTGGCCTTTGGCTCAAGATCAACCGGCCAACTTTGCTCAAACCTTAGAACGTCCTAGACTTCGCCATGCTGTTTCTTTGAATGTGGACCGTGGGGGACCATGGGTGACCTTGGGTGACCTTGGGTGACCGCTGCAGGCCGCGCGTCATCAACGCTCATCCTGCTTTGTTCGTGCGACGCTTATTGCCTCGAGTCAGTTTCTCTGACAATCTGATCGTTCTTGCCAGGGCTTCAGGCAAAATGCGGTTTTGGTTCAAAGGCGACTTAGAGTGCAACCATGGCTGCACATCACTGGGGGCTTTCACCAGGCCCTCAGGAGATGCTGCAGCCAAGGACCAATCCCAGCCCCCAGCGGGCGGCTTGGCCAATCCAAAACTGAGCAGTGGCCAATCCAAAACTAAGCAGCGCCAACCCCCACGCAGGACGATACCCGTTCACAAGCCATACATCGAAATCAAGCAGCACTTCTTAGGGTGAATGGTTGGCACTGACACTGTTTGTTGCAAATGGGGCCTGTGACGGGCTGATGGTTTTTCTATCCTTCCAGAGTTGACGGATGGTGCTGCCAGGGTGCCTTCTAGTCAGATTCTAATCTTGTCCGTCTGTTGCAGAAAGGGGTGGCTGGCTCCCTCCCCATCCTTAATATCTTTACTAGCATGCACGGCCACTTCCCAGACACATTTCTTTCAAAGGTATGTGCTGAACAGTTGACCTTTTGTCATCATCTTCTTGTATTTCTCCTGCACTCTCGATATGCTATGAATCCACTTGCTTGCACTCACCCGCACATGTATTCCTGTCCACTTCGGTTTCATGGGGGCCACATGCAACATACAACTATATGCAACTTTGAGACTCTGTCATGGCATTTTGCTGCAAGATGCTGCATGGAAGTTTAAGGGATACCGCTGTCGATCTCAGGTCTGCGGCTTGCTTTTGGTAAGTGAATCTTGCTCGCTTTAACGCTGTATTGACTTTCTCACTGAATGTGAGTTCGCGCACTTGATTTTGACAGGTTTTGCATTTACTGCTGTCGTTCTGCTCCATCCGCAGGCGAAGATTGGGATTTGAGATGTGCGAACTAACCAGTGTTGGATACATGCCAGCATGGGGTAGCTTCGTTTAGTAAACAGACCTGTCGGATCTTTGCTTGGTACTGACGAAGCAAAACTGTCAATGCATCTTCACGCCCGTGGTTAACTCAGTCAGTCGTCCGTCAGTAGCCAGAAGTCAGAAGTCAGCATGCAGTAGTCTTGTTGAAAGCAAGCAGTCTGTGTTCGCCTACGTCTGTGGTGCAGATGCTGACCTATTTCTACATTTACTACGGCATCACCACTACCATGGTGGCTCTTCTCAGACGGAGATTGTGAGGCTGTCACGTGATGTCACATGTGTTGACCAAGCTGGATGTGTGATGATGCTTAGGTCATGCTGACCTTTGCACGAGTTTCGATCTTTAGGGCATTTCTGAACTTGATGAAGCAGTCCAAGGCCTGGCAACTTATCCCTTCTTCAAGCGTTTAAGTGGTCAACCTTCAGTATTGCGAACTGTTTGGCGATGTGGTTTTTTAGGAATGGCGCGCTCTTGTTCGGTTTGTTCTGCTTTTTTCAAGGGTTTGGTGTGTGCCGCGCTGATCCGCGCTGGAAGGCAGGGAGGCAAGCAATGGCAAGCACCAAGGAGAAGGAAGCGGGTGACAGGATGTGGGACAGGAAGGGGGGCAAAAAGGACGGTCGTGTCGCTGAATGCTAAGAGTACGCCAACGTGAGCGCCTTTAGCATTCTCAGGGGCACGCATTGTATTCAGGTACTCTATTCAAAACAAAGGGTGGGCCGCCTACTTCATGTTGGAGTGGCCGGGGTCCACTGGGTCCACGGGGTCCTCCGCGATGTTCGCGGGGTCCGCAGGGTCCACAGTTGGAACCCTAAGCAGCTTCCGACGCAAGAGGCCAGGAGATAGAGTCATCACCAGCATCAGCCAACTCGAATGTGGTGTGAAACAGGCATCATGCAGTCGGAAGAGATATTGTGGGCGATGGCTTCTGGTTCGGAGGGGTGGGACAGGCCGGTGCTGCAAACTAGGCTCCGTTCGCGTTTCGCCTTGGCCACAGCCAAACCTGTTATGGAATCTCTAAGTGATGTCATCAAGTTGCCAGGCGAATTGTGTGCTCTTATTTCCTGAGATGCTCCGCCCAATGTGCAATCTTACGGAACATATTTTTTATCATCCGAAAGTGAGAAAACATGTGCACCATTCTTAGCCCAGCACCGAAGCACCTATTTAGATCAAACCCCAAGAGTCGGTCATTGAAGACAGTCCAACGCCGCAAAGCCGGCCAGGGAAACAATGAAGCAACGGTATCCATCATTTCCGAATAGAGCCACTGACAAATAGTCATAGAGTCATAATCCATATCAGTGTGCTTTCTTCCATGTGCAGCACGCAGATCTCAAACATTCCATGCGATGCGTAATCTAAGGGGCTCGCAGAAAGAACGGCTTGTTCTTACACCGAAATACGGCACGTGCAAGCACTCCGGGCATGCTCCACAAGGTGCCGCATAGCGGTGCGCGGCTTAGCGGCCTTGTCGCAGGCATAGCGCCCTATAGTGGAAGGCCCCAAAAGTGCATGGCAGCCTCTGACACCTAGCGTCTCCCCGCACAGTCTCGTAGCCCCTTGCGCATAGTGCCTGCCCGCATAGCGGTTCGGTGTACCACGACGCACAGCGTCGGGCCCCAAACGATGCAGGGGACTGGGCGCAGGCACACGGAGCCAGGCGCCAGCCTGCATAATAATGACATTCCGTATAGCGGCCAGTGCTGATAATGCAAGACGGCCAATGCTGGTAAGTGTTAAATTAAATGCATGCCCCATGGATGGGGAGGGCGGGGGTTTAAATCAAGACAGGGGGTCAAAGTAACGATATGGTTTTGCAAATAAAGGCCCCCTCCCTCTTCTCAGCTGCAAATGCAAGGGTCCCAGTGTGCAGCCGAGTATCCCCGAAGTGCCGAGAGCCGCCCGCAGAGACTGTTGCCGAGTATCATTCAGAAGCATGCCGCATTGTGTTGTTGCTACATTCTGCTATTGCAAAAGATTTAGATGTTCTGTGCCGGGATCTGGGTCTGATTCCATGTCTGTATGGCCCGTGATTCTTGGCACGGTCGTGCAGAGTCGTGCATGCCCGCCAAAGTACTCCAATACGCCAGCTGCTTTTTCTTTGAAAGCTCTGCGATGATGTCAGCGTCCAGGCTGATTGCACCGTACCGAGAATCCTGTTGAGCATGCCTGGGTGCCCACCCTGCAGAGAAGCCCACAGAAAGTCCCGGAGAGCATCCGCTGGATTGCGCACCCTCAGAGAATTCCCAATGCAGATTGCAGCATGGTCGTTTTTTTGTTTTTCATTCGGTTCTTGGTGAAAGCTTCCAGACGAGATGATCTTCGGACATATTTGATGCAGGGTAGCTTTTCGAGAATGTCTGTAGACGTTTTGCAGGTCGGAGTGAAAACGGGTTTCAATCCAATCAGCATGAATTGCAGGCCGCCCGATTTGTGATCCAGTGGTTCGTGCAGAAGGATATTGCACACGGGCGCCATCCTTGACAGATTGCCCAGAGTGCAAATGTGCACTTCGCCATTTATTGAAGGCTTTCGTTGCAGAGAGCCCAGAGAGCTCAGGTGGGTTCACCAGAAGTTGAAGAGCCTGCAGAATCAGGGAGTTGTGTGCCTGGGACGCCTTTTCGCTCGCTGACGGAATGCTTTTGAAACAAGACGCTTTTAAAAATCTCACACGTGCAGGTACTTCACGAAGCGGGCCAGCATGAGCCAGATTAATCGAGCTTTGCAGTACATCGAGCAGAATGAGGAAGCTAGATGGGTCAAGGCGTGGCATGGTGTGGCTGCTTTTAAACAATTTTTAAACAATGCACTTGTCTGACTTGTCTGTGGATGTTGCTGTCTTCTGCAGGTCATTCACTGTTACACGGACAGAGAGCCAGTCCCAGAAAACCTTCAAGAGAGTGGAGCTTAGCATGCAAATCGCAGCAGTGTTGGTGTTCCTGACGCGTTGCAGATGCGGTTGACACAGGGCTGCCCGTCCATGTCTCCAAAGTCTTTGCTTTTCTATACATAGCCGGAACCATTGTTGAAGCCGGTAAATCAAACATTTTCTAGGTTTCATATTTGGCTTGCTGACAAGAGGGTAGGGGCTCGGGCAAAGAGGTGAGGCAAATTAGGACATGGGGCCTGAAGGCACTTGGGGCTACGTGCCCCCTGTGGGGGTTACTGTCATCCTTGCTCGGGTCATCTGCGCAAAGCAACAAATCACCCGGTATGTCCACGGTGGCATCCGTCACAAACACCCTGAACCCTCTTGGAAAAATTGAAAAAGGTATGCTGCCTGAATTTAAGGGCAAACCTCCTGGTCCGGCCTCCCGTTCCGCAAAGAAGCGGCCTCCGTTTCCACCCTACATCTAAGCAAATCACCGGCCACTGCAGGGATCATGTGGATTGCAGGGAAACTCCGTGGGACACGGTGTAGGGGGTTTAGGGGTTTTCAGGGATACATGATTCTCTACAAACTTGTTCTGCGGGATTCTCTGTGCGTCAGCACTCCAGTCACTCCGGATATACTTTGTGCGGGATCCTCTGCGGGTGTGGGCTCTCCAGCGATGCTCTGCGGGAAAGCCCAGGGCCGGGCGCAAAGGTGGGCTTAAAAGCCACGGGTGAATGGAGAATGTCTCCTTTGGCATCGGCATGGTGCGTCGCTGTTGCTCATGCTTCTGCTTCCGATGTGACACGAAGCCACGAAGCGTCTGGTCATTTGGGAAACCGGACCTAGCTGAGGTATGTTCAGATCCTGGATTGTGTATACCCTCGCCTTCGTGTGGACTGCATTCTGGTCGGGCAGAGCATGCAGTCCACTGTTGTGGGGTGGTTTGTAGGTTTGCTTTGCGCCGCAGGTGAAAGGCGAGTTCAGCCCAGCAATGGTCATGTATGTTTCGAAACAAATCAACGATCGAAGCTCAGTTTTGTGGTTGGCAGAATTTTCTACCAGTTGTTCAGAGTTGCTTGCCAGGTCAAAGTCAATTGCATGTTCATCAACTGCCCAAAGCATGACTTCAAGCATCCACTGGACAGAATGGGTGGTACTTGTCCTCAGCTGCAACTTGCACCAACTTAGTTGCAGAGATTTGCAGAGGGCTCTTGGAACGAGGTGTTCGCGTCATTCTAAACTCTGAGAAGCCAGACCCGCCAGAACCTGAGCTTTACAGCCTAGCAGCTCTGAGACTGGAGGACTCTCGAGCTTTGAGCCGTTCCTTTGAGGTTTGAAATGGATGCAGGCACAGGCCCGGGGGCCTCCTTTTGCAAAAATGAGCAGGACACCATGAATCTCACGTGAGCGCCGGCATCACCGCAGGTGCAGCTTCACCAACTTCTTGGATATCGCCGTCTCCATCAGGCACAGGTTGAGTATGTCGCCCTCGAACAGCATGCGTGATTCATTTCAGGACCGAGCGAGGGACCTTACTTGCCATTAAGCAAGTCTGATGAATCTCCAAAGGACCTGCAAAGCAGTCCTCGTGCCATTACTAGTGCTGTTAGCATTGGTGATTCCAGCTAGGCGGCACAATTGGCAGTCAAAGTTGCTGCCTGCTCAATCCTTGCCACTAGCTGCGGCTATGCTTTCTCAAAGAAAGCATGATTCGCCTCAACATACCAAGGCAAGGAAAATTACGGCATTGGACATAAACCTTATCTGCCCATAATACTTTATCGAATGGATAAATTAACTATTCATAATGAAACGTCGAAAATATCCATAATAAAAGCAAAGAACATCCAGATAATAGAATTACGAAGAGAACACAATGAGAACAATTTCAATTAATAAATGAGCCGAACGAACGCATTAATTGGACGAATAAGAGAAGGAAATGAGATAAATGATGGTTTCGTATTCAGGATAGATATCCCCCCTATTTTCGCTCTGCGGCCGCCCTGTCGGTTGCCCCGCCTCCTCTTCCGGTCAATTTGGCTGCTTGTGAGGGCCTTGCAGGGGGATCCAATCTCTTGGTCCAGGGTAGTTCCGATGACGGTCGCCGCCCGCCAGCTGTTCAAGGGGGTTCGGCCTCACGATCACATATCAGCAACAGCTCTCGAAAAATCCTAGGAGTTTTCATTTCCGGGAATTTTCGGGATCCCCCGGGTTCAGGGTTTTACGCTTTACGGTGTAGGGTTTTGGGGCTTAATAGAAATTGTATAGGGTGTGTGTCCGGAGTTTTGTCGTGTTTTGGGGGGTGTTGTTTTTTGCTTTTGCTGTAATGGTTTGGGTTCTGTCGGGTGTGGTGGGGGGTGGGTGGTTTTGGGGTGCTCAGGCGTTGGGGCTGGGGTTTTGGGGGGTTTCCCGAATGCCCGTGGTGGTGGTCCCGTGGTGGTGGTCCGTGGTCCCGTGGTGGTTCGTCGTGGTGGTCCCACAGCGTGGTGGTGGTCCCGTGGTGGTGGTGCTCCTTTGGTGGTGGTGGTCCTGTGGTGGTGGTCTGTCGTGGTGGTGGCGGTGTCCGTGGTGGTGGTGGTGGTGGTGGTCCCTGGTGGCCGTGGTGGTGGTCCCGTCGTGGTGGTCCCATGGTGGTGGCCGGGTGGCGGTGGTCCGTGGCGGTGGTCCGTGGTGGTGGTCTCGTGGTGTGGTTCCGTGGTGGTGGTCCCGTGGTGGTTGTCTCGTGGTGTTGGTCCCGTGGTGGTGGTCCCGTGGTGGTGGTCCCGTGGTGGTGGTCCCGTGGTGGTGGTCCCGTGGTGGTGGTCCCGTGGTGGTGGTCCGCGGCGGTGGTCCGTGGTGGTTGGTCCGTGGTGGTGGTCCGTGGCGGGGGTCCGTGCGGGTGGTCTGTGTTGGTGGTCGTGGTGGTGGTCTCGTGGTGGTGGTCTTGTGGTGGTGGTCTCGTGGTGGTGGTCTTGTGGTGGTGGTCTCGTGGTGGTGGTCTCGTGGTGGTGGTCCGTGGTTTATATTATATCAGATTTTGCGATGAATATGATGATTTTCTATATTCGGGAGCGTGGTTCTTATTAGTTTATTTTTTTTGCTTTTGTTGTATTGGTTTGGGTTTTGTCGGGTGCGGGGGGGGGGGGGGGGGGGGGGGGGGGATGGGTTATTTTGGGGGATAAGATTATAGATCTTAAGTGATATTTTGTCGGATGATCTGAATTATCGATCAATTGATATTTTTTCTCTGTCGGCATTTCCTAGCCTTTGGCAAAATTCTTGGTCTAGATATCCTCGAGTTGTGTTGGATCTGGCGATGATTAGTCCTTTTCAATATTTTTATCCCTATAAAAGGCTACGGGTTCGACCCTTATTTTCGCTCTGCGGCCGCCTTGTCGGTTATCCCGCCTCCTCTTCCGGTCAATTTGGCTGCTTGTGAGGGCGTTGCAGGGGGATCCGGAAAATTCCCGGAATTTTTACGCTTACTGTCTAAAAATCCTTGGAATTTTGGGAATCACTTGGATCTGAAAATTCTAGGAAATTTCGGAATCACCCGAATTGAGGTTTAGGCTTTCCGGGTTGGATTTAAGGTTCCAACACAGCAATGATGACATGGGTGCCCTTTGAAAATTCCGGAAATTTTCGGGACCCCGGGTTCAGGGTTTAAGGATTTCACGGTTTAGGGTTTTGGGGTTTAATAGAAATTGTATAGGGTTTGTGTCCGGAGTTTTGTCGAGTTTTGGGGGGTTTTGTTTTTTGTTGTAATGGTTTGGGTTTTGTCGGGCGTGGTGGGGGGTGGATGGTTTTGGGGTGTTGAGGGGCTGGGGCTGAGGGGCTGCGGCTGAGGGGCTGGGTTTAGTTTTTTGTTGTAATGGTTTGGGTTTTGTCGGGTGCGGCGGGGGGTGGGTGGTTTTGGGGGGCTGGGGTTGGGGGCCTGTGGTTGAGGGACTATTTGAGGGGCTAGGGTTGTTGAGGGCTTGAGCTGAGGAGGGGTTGAGAGGGCTTGTTGAGGGACTGGGGAGGGATTGTTGAAGGGATGGGTTATTGAAGGAAGGATGATTGAAGGGAGGGATTGTTGAAGGGAGGAGCTATTGAAGGGAGGGATTGTGATTGTTGAGGGCTGAGGATTTTTGTATTTTGTGGGGTTATTTGGGGACTTGGAATCGGGATTGATATTGCGATGATAATATTTCGATTATCTATTTCGACAACTTCATAAAATCTTTGGATATATTATTTATTTCGTGTTCCTAATATTAGGTCTCTTTTCTTAATTGATATTTTTGGGAGCAGAAGCCTCCCTATCGATCTTATATTTTTTTGTTGGCATATTTGCCGGTATGGTTATTTATTAATATGGCGTAAGGTGGCGCAAGGGAACCCTACGACCTTAGATTTGGCGCAAGAACTTAGAATGTCATCTAAGTGAAAAGGGGAATTCGTAATATTTTGAGAAATTACGGTCCCAATGATATTATATGAGGTGATTCATAGAAAGAAGTGGATATCGAGGCACTTGGGGTTAAGGATTTCGGATCTGGAATTAAGGAATGAAAGGAGGGACCATGATAAGGCAATTTGTAAGTTTTGTGGTTCATTGAGGATGGTATCTTGGGAGCTTGCTTGTATATTCAAATTTATATAATGATGGATCGACTTATGAAAAAAGATTACAGGATATAAATCTTAAATCGTAATCGTTCAAATTCTTACGAAATAAATTCTTGCCCACCACGCTCACGCGTCAGACTCATAGATATCTTTTTAGAGATCCCGAAAATACTTGGATATTTTGTTTGTCCGCACTTCTTCAGGGTTTTAGCGTATGTCTATTTCTACTTAGTAGGCGGATATGTCGTCGATGGAATCGACGGGTCCCCTCTAGTTTTTTCATAACTGAATAATCATAACGGATATGGGTTTCGAGCTGCCACGGCATATGCCATTCCATCCTTGGGGTGCCCAAAAATTTTTCAATCTTTCAGCCTTAATTATTAATGTAATTGGGGCATTGCAGGTTGCGTCCTAATATGGCCACCGTGCGCGGCTATCGTTGCGAGGTGCGAGGCGGTTAATTTTGGTTTCGAACCCATCGTCTTTGAGAGTTTGGTCTTGAATAAGAGGCCCGGGATTTGTTAGCTAATTTGCGGGATCGGATCGACGAGCGTTGTCGGCGTGGGGCGGGATCTTCTTTTCAGGAATACCTGGATCATTTGAATTTCGATTTATAGAGGGGACTCCATAGGGTCATCGAAACCCAACGTCCTGATGCCGTCGCAACCTTCTTGGATCTATATGAATGATTCATGAATTTTCCCTTTCATTCGAATTCCTTATAGGATGACCCTCGCAGGATCATGGGTCGAATCTACCTCCCGAGCGCGATGGATATTGGAGGAGATTGAAATCATATTTCGTTTCATCAGAAGATCTTTTTGAATCGGCGGTTCGTCTCACTTTTGATTCTTTATATTTGGGAATCTTCGATTCTTCTTATTCCTTTTTCGTCTTTGTGGGATGACTCGTAATTGGGGGTGAGGACAAGTTTTTAAGCGCATCGAGACGTCTTGGAGAACTCGAAATTCTTCTTATTCTCATGGATATGGATTCCATTTCATTTGTTTGGGCGCACATAACGCCTGGATGATGAATTTCATTCATAGAATAAATTTCCGGATTCGAATTTGGAAGCCTTGTCCCCTCAGGCACCAAGATCCTAAGTCTTAAGCGACAATCCCTAAATCTTGCCTTCAAGCTTCACCATTCGTTCAAGTTCTTGCTGGACAAGTTGGTGCCCCCCATGCTAGCGCGTCAGGCTCTCGGATTTCTATGTAGGGATCCCGAAATTAATTGGATCTTTTATTTGTCCGTACTTCTTCAAAGTTTTGGCGTACGTCTTTTTCCATTCAATAGGCGAATATGCCGTCGATGGAATCGACGGGTCCCCTCTAATATTATTGGAGGAAGGTGAAAGAATAAATAAATAAATAATAGGAGAAGATGGATATACTGAATTTACGATACGTATGTTATTATGGAATGAGAAAAATTTCATATATTGATTTTTAGATGTTTCTATATAGGCGCTAGGATAGTATTAGATATTCTTTTCTAAAATTGCTATGATATGATTTGAGGATGATGATATTTATTTACGAAATATTGATGTTTTCATTAATTTTAATTATTTTGAAGATGATGCTTGAATCTTGAAGTGAAGGTATTACTAATATCTCTACAAAAGGCCGTTCTATGGCCGCCCTATCGGATGCCCCACTTCTTGTTCTGACCTATTTGGGTTGCTTGCGAGGATCTTTTAGGGGGATCTGAAATTTTTGCATTCATTATCTAAAGATCCTCGGGATTGAGGTTTAGGCTTTCCGGATTGAATTTAGGGCGCGGATGCCCCTTCTCCTTCAAGGAAATCTTCAGATAAAGCTCTTGGTCCAGGATAATTTAGATGATGGTCGTCGCCCGCCAATTATTCATGGGGGCTCGGCCTCACGATCATATATCAATAGTAATAGAATTATCATAATCGTACGTTGACTTCCATCTGGAGGTATGTAATATCGACCGACGCTGGACACGACTCATGTAGGACTCATTTGACCTTTCACGCCCGTGCAAAGGCACCACGCTCTAGT